CTCGAAAGCCAATACTTTGTAATCTATCTAGTAATATATTATGGTTTATTGCTTCAAAGGCCCTACTAACGCCTATATATAGAGCTAGAACATATATTTACTTCTCCTCATATTTCCAATGACATAGTCAAAAAAAACTCTTCCAACAGGTCACTGGTTTCTATGTGCTCCCTGAACCCCTATTACGTTCTAGTTAATAGGTTATATTTTGAAATATAGTTCCGAAGTATTTTATTAATATATCTATCCACTAAGCTGTGTGCTCGGTCTGTGTCTACCCGTGGTTTCAAGGGAAAACCAGTGGTACTGCATGGCACCTGGAACGTTCCTCCAATATACCTTTTTTTCCTCATGCGTACGTCCTTGCCCTGACCGTGATTCCCGCTGTTGCTATTCTCGGAGGGCACCGTCCCACAAGACCAGAATTGCCAGCTCCTATTCATGCGCAAATTTCGGCTTTTTCGACTGTAATTTTTTTTTTTTTTTTTTAGCTTTGGTAGTCTGGGACATGAAAAGCAGTAAAAGCAGCAATGTATACAACGGCACGATGCCGATGGAATCTTACTGGCGGTGGCACGTTGGGCGGCCCTTCCTTTGTAGTTCGCTGAAGGCCCCTCAGCAAACGCTCGTCACTCAAAAAAAGAAAAAGGGTTGTTGTTCTTAAAGGGGCCCACCAACACTTTTTTGACCGGTTTGAAGTTGGCGCTGAAACGGAGCTCCATGAAAGCAGGAACACCGAGGAAAAAAAATATTACAGAAATTCGCAATATTTTGTGAGTTATTAGAAAACTAAATATTGCAGAAAACAACTTTAAATAAGCAAAACATTGCGCTTCATGGCGTAAAATGAAACAGTTTAGCGATTGGAGCAAAGCGGTTGGCCAATTGGAGCAAAGCATCGGCCCGGGCGATTGGAGCAAAGCGTCGGCCCGGTCGGCTCGTCGGCCATTAGGCCTAGCTGCAACCATCGTAGCTTTGGGATCGGGTTGCCATCATCGATGAATTTACCGGGATTATCGGATTTTGAGTGCGGAGCTGGGCGTCGCGCCGTACGAGGACACTCCACGCATGCGCCGCGACGCGTCTCTGCCGCAGTCCGCTTCGACTGCCGCGGAAGACTCGTCTCCCGCAACTCCGCCACCGGAGCCACCTCGGCGAGTAGGAGCTACAAACTGGTGAGCGGTCCCGTTGGGCAAAAGCTGGATCCCGTCGCCGCACTTCACTCGAACAGTGAAAAGTCTGTCACAGCATTAAAAGAAAATAAGGGTTCCCCTCGCTCCTCTTACTGCTTTTAGTTGACCGGGACCGGGGGCACACAAGTGAAAATACGATGCGCCTTGACTACACGGATCACTTGTCGTCTGCTCGCGATGGTACGTCGCGGACGCCGCTGGGAGGCGCGCATGAGCGACAAGGCGTTGTTTTCGCCCTTTTTGAACTTTACTTTGCAACTTTATTAGCTCTATAAAAATGACTTGTTAGAGAAATAATGACGGTTAACGTGTGATATACTTTATTTCGCTTCAAAATTCCTGGGACGGCTGTCGCCAATCACGAAACCCAGAGAATGTGACGTATAGTGAAAGGAAGCGCCGTTATGCGCGCGCATTCGGCACCTCGCGACGCCACCATCGGTGGAGGTGTTTCCGAGTTGTCAAATTAAAATATGATGCGCTAATATTTTCAAACTCTTTCGTTGTCCACTGGGTTTCCGGGACCACTAGCGTGTAGAAACCGCAAAAAAAAGTCGACGCTCAAATACTGTTGGAGGGCCCCTTTAATACTGTGCGGCGAGCAAGTCGCACCAAAACGCGTCTTATCGCTCATGGGAGGGGAGCTCGCCTACGGGAGGAGGCGCGGTGAGAAGGAGTGATCACGTTTGCGATGAATATTCGCCCTCACATCTGTTTGCTCTCCGTGGCTACGGACATTCTATGGAGCAGACGGCATCTCGGCCATGGGTTCCTCGTTCGCTGTTGTGCTCCCGCAAGTTAGTCGACAAAAACAACGTACCCTTTTGCTTGTTCAGTTATATCAGGTTACCCCCCCCCCCCCCCCCCCCCCCCCCATCGCCAAGGGCATTATTGCAAGGGGTAGGGGTGGGTACAGTACGGTATCCACCTTCTGTACTCATCCTCTCCCCTCATATACTAAATCCTCCTTTGCAAAAAAAAAAAAACATTTAAAAAAATTTGTTAAAAGGAGAAAAAAAAATGCTAAGACAGCTATTGCTACAACAAGCAGACGACACCGGCGTTCGCCTTCCGGCACCCGAACGCTCGACCCTGAGCCACCGCTCACGAGCAAGAGACGGTCTTGTTTCTTCTGACTGGAGGGATACTGTGTTTACAAACAGGCAGCAAGCCTTTCCTTCTACCCACTATCCTTCCAGATGGAGCTCGGCGCTCTAACGTCCCTGTACCCGCTGTGCAGAAAGCAGGTGAACTCGCTCGCCGAATAGTGCACTGTACCTCGCATGGAAAGCAAGAGAAATGCTGGTACCTATGGTCGGCTACACCTATATTTTTCTAATGTCTAAAAACAAAAACACGCATAGTTTGCAACGTTTTTGCGTGCCCAAAATATTGCTGTTTCTAAAAAAAAAAATAATAATAAACGTGTTTTCAGGTGTGCAAAGCGTGCTTTGGGCTTTGCGCACGATTCGTGGGCGTTCAGCAAACCACATCCCTTCTAGTCTCGATGCTCCGGAACTAACAGTCGGGTTTTTACATGTGTAAACACACAAGCTGCAACACCGAACCTAGTCGTGTGTGTGTGGCCTCAGTCTTTCCCCGCCGTTCTGCCGCGTTGAGCCACCCAACTGCGTCACTCCAATGGCGCCAAAAAGTGGGCCTTCTGTCACGTCCGCATCAAGCTCTTCATTAGCGGTCGGGAGCAGAGGTGCATGCTCGCCATTAGTATGCATGCCCAGCTCGCCGTTTCGCCGCATTGTTGATCGCTGTACAAAGAAGCCAGCTACAACACACAAAGCGCACCAAAAAAAAAAGAACGTTCAGTGAGCGGAGCGCTGCATTATTCATTAAAGCCGGCATGCAATCGTCTGTGCTAGTAATCACCGTCGTTACGCGCCGAACGAAACATCGCCGTTATAATTCGAAGCTTTCGATGTAGGCGCAACGTTACGTGTTTGCGTGTTGTGTGCGTATGTGCGCGTGCGTGCGCGTGCTGTGTGTGTATCTATGCGTATTTGTGCGTGTGCGTAGGTGTGCATAGGTGTGTCCGTGCGCGTGCGTGGGATAGCGTGCGTACGTGTGTGCACGTGCGCGCGTGTGAGTGTGTATGTGCATGTGTGTACGCGTGTGTGCGTATCTTGGTGTGTGTGCATGTGAGTGTGTGTGTATCTTTGGGCTTGCTTGCGAGTGTGTGTGTGTGTGCGTGCGTGCCTCTCTAGAGAAGCGGTTTGCTTACGTTTTTTTTTTTATTTTTTTATTTTTTTTACGTAACTAGCTCGTTTGTATACGTGCACGGTGGGCTTGAAGTCGTTATTTTGAGCGATAGTAGAGACCTTGATCGCTGTCCTCTTTACCCACGGTACGCAGTTTCGATTTCGAATCGCCCCGAGTTCCCGAAAGTGTGGCGGCTTTTCATTATGTTGAAAGGGGGAGGAGCAGGGAGAAGGGACGTTTGGAACTACGGACGCGTGTTACTGCACTCCGAGCGCGTAAGCTGACAGTGCGGTAGAAGTTATAGGCGTTCGTTAGACCAGTAATACGTTTACCTTTCATCGCGTGATTTCGCTCCTTCCCATCCCCATTCGTTCACAGAAAGTCGAGTCAGGTGGTTAAAGGGAGGCGGTTCATTGGTCAGGCTAACGAGTAGTTTCCACTGCACTGTGGTGCGCAGATTTTAGTGTTACGACCAACATTACGAAGAGAGGAAATGAGGGGCAACAAAGTGAAGTGGTAAGAATGTTTTTTTCTTGATTCACGTCATTTTTTATTGTAGAGAACCGGGTAAAATGTAGATTGCCGTATTTGACTGATAGATACCGTTTTAATTAAACGCTTTGTTGCGGTACGTTCGATTACAGTGTCCGTTTTCTTTTGTCTAATAATAACAAAAGATCTAGAGGGTGTCGTTAATTGCACTCCGGTTATTGTTTGTTACAGTGAGGCATCTGGAATCTGTATGAAGCGGTTTATTGTTTTTTTATAATATAATTTTTAACATAAACTTTGCATCCCCTACCACACAGTGTCCTTATTTGAGGTACGTTAATATTTTACTAGCCGCATACCGCGTATAGAGATAGAACTAACACGTGAGTTCAAGGAGCGGGAAGAATAATTTCCGTGGTGAACATTAAAAAAAATAATGGATATTTTCCCCCTCTTTGTAAAGTTTTAGTGATATTATCTAATACCTCAATAACAAGGCAGTATAGCAAACAAAAAACTAAATTAGTGCAATATTGGCGTCACGAGACGTATTTTTAGTTAGGAGCCATTGCGAAATCTTGCGCCCTCGACCCGAAACAGAAAAACAAATGTTTCAGAATAGCTCCAATAGCTACTGAAGTCTCCAAAAATAGTTTTACAGTGCTTATGTTGTATTCTGTATACCATAAAGAAAGGTGGTAAAAACATTTTCCACAATATTTAGGTAGTGAAACTAAATTTTGTAGCGTCGCCTCTCGGGACGACTTTTTGAAGTAGAAGCAAGTTTCGGAAACCCTTTTCACTCGAAGTGTGTCCCTCATCATATATATTGCGGTAACAATTTTGTAATTCAGTGCATGTTCGTTTCATGATATATGTGCACAATCCAGGCCCTTAAATATAGTTTAATCTCTCCCGGAGTGATTCCAAAACATCATAATCTGAACGCCGTAGCTACTCGCCTGCATACTTTCTCCTCCGAAACGTTATTTCATTTGACATCAACGTACTGCGAGATCAAAGCTTGTGTCAAGATCGCTCCTAACTAAAACGTACTTCTCGCGACGTGGGGATCTCCCTTCAAGAAAGCCTCCGTCTCACCTGCTGCTCCTGCCGCAGCCCGCCTGCACCCCGATCTCGCTGGTGGCCACGCTCCGGGGCGTCATGTCGATGTCCAGGTGGATCTTCTTGGTGAGCAGCATGATCCGCTGCTCGGCGTCCTCCAGCATCCTCCGCTTGGCGTCGTGACTGTTCATCTCGGAAGCGCCGTTGGGCTCGGCGCCCGAGGAGGTCACAAGGAGCGGGTCCGGCTGGACCGCTTCGTGGGACGCGCTGGACAGTTCGCCGCGGTCGCCCAGGCCTTCGTCCTCGTCGTCCTCTTCGCCCAGGGAGAGGTCGAGGTCGTCGGTGCCGGGAACGTAGACGTCGGTCTGGGTGACGCGGTCGCGCTGCTCGCACTTGTGTTCCACCTGTCGGCGACAGACGCTTATATAAAAGAGTAAAACTATACTCCGTTCTCACTTTCAAGTGCGACCGCAGTGGACGATACGATGGATCCGATCGAGCAGAGCTAGAAGTCCATCGTAGCGGCACTCGTTGTATTGAAAGATCTGCTATCACCACCTAAACCAATCACAAAAAAACGCAAGGCCGCGGTCTAATTACTGTGCGTGATTTTTGTAGTCGGCGTTAGCAAACGCACAAGAAAGACGAGCGCCGTGACGACGCACTTTTGGTGCTTCCTTATTGGCTCGATCGGATAGTGTATAACGTCTGCTTTCGGACTAGGGAAGCAGAGGTCCTCGAAGAAAACAAGTTGGAGGAGAGAATTCTAGCGTATTTTTTGTCCCGTGAATTTTTGTAATGACCTGAAAGCAAATACGCGTATTCTGTCTTTTGAAAGTGCTTGGAGCGAATGGTCATGTTTCTTGTAACGGCTTTTAAACGGGAACCCATTCCCGGTATCTTATGCTCGGCATACTGTTGCGTGACCAGTGTTCTCCTACATAAAGCAAAGAGTAGACTCTTCGTATACCGTACGTTAGAGCTCTACACTACTAGCGGGAGCGTCTGTCATCACGTTGAGCACACACTGAGCTGGCTACCACCAGACCAGAAACCCGCAGCGTGTGCGACATACGGAAAGTTTCTAGTGAAATTTGGCATCCCGGTCCCTTCGTGAAACGCTGTTTCACGGGGGAAGACAATAATTTATATTTCAACGCGCTCACTTTTCTTGTCAAAACCGCTTCACGCACGAACACGCCGACGACAACCATGCGGTGACAGCAGTATTGAGGCACCAAGGCCGACGGTCCTTGCAACCGTCTCCGCGCCACCGCCACCGCCGCCACCGCCGCCGCCCCTCTCCTCTGGTTCTTCGTTCGCTCGCCAGAGAGCGAGCGGTGGGCTGGAGTTGCGTCTAGAGTTGCGAATAGACCTCTTTCTGGTGTTCAGTAGTTTACTGCTTTGTGCGCTTCAAGTACAGGATGATTGCTGTTTTTTGTTGTTGTTGTTGTTTGTCTTTTTAGGTGCGGTTTTCGTAGATCGTTTTTGCCGTCGCGCAACGCTCTCGGCAAGCTGCTACAAAATCAAAAACTTGACAGACGAGGCTAGCAGAGCGCGTGCGAATTCCCACGGCAGTAGCGATGTGGGGAAAAGAGTGAACGAAACGCCCTTTTTATTTCGAAATGCTCATGAGATCAAGTGGCACCTTGGAAATTTTCAAATATTGCAATCGCTCCTGTAAAATATTAGCTTAACTCTCGTTGTGTGGCAAAATTTTTAGAATTTTTGTTTATATTCTTACTTTCTTCTTGTTGTGCGGCAGGGGAGGCATGTCAAGTTAATGATTGATAGTTAATTTTGTCTTTAATATACGCGAAAAATTACCGTAATGGAGGTTCAAAACCGAAGGACAGTGAAAGACAAGAATACCTCAGATCGCCCTCCTCGCTCGTTAGCGTACATACAAATATGTTTCATCGACAAATACTAAGCCTTGAGAAAAGTTTGAATAGGAGCGGCAACTTCATTAGAACACAGACGTTTCGACAAGAGCCTTCCCATGTTCCAATCATGAGGGAAGTCTTTTCCCGAAACACTTATGCTATATAAAGTCTCCCTTGCTGTTCAGATTTCCCTCAGCATTTAACTCCTGTGACAAATAAATTCAACCTGTATGGTCTGCATAGAGCGTCGTAGACGCTTTTTGTCTCCTTTATGATAACGGTGCTTAAACTCGTCTTAGACTGGTGTGTTTAACGTGTCCTCAAAAGCTATCCCTCGATTTCGGCCTGATGACGTAACAAAAGTGCCACGATATTGTCTGTCGCAACCCTGGCGGTGGCACAACAGTGTGGGTGGAAGCGGCAGACACTTGTGTTGCTGCAGGTCACAATGCAGCCAGACAGCCGACGCAAACCAAAGCAGACACAACGTAGGACGCAGCGACGACAGCGATCCCTCGCGTTCGCTGACCTTTCTCGCCAGAATTTCTACAACCAACCGCCAGGATCGTGAAATCCGTCACTGTGACATGCCGGCTTTATCGGAGCCAATTCGTTGCAACTGTGGGATAACTTTCGATGAATAGACAGTAAACACATCCGTCGAAGACGCGCGTTCCAGCACCGTATCTGGGGAAACGAGTACAACAATATCTCGAGGTCCCCGTTAATATGAATACCCCGCTCTATAGGTACCGGTTTCAGACACGAACAGGGTAAATTAAATACATACATTTTTTGGGGTTGTTATGGATAGCTCACATTATGGTCGCTTTTTGTAAGGGGGAATGGAGGTTGCAACGTTTTAACGAGATATCTTTTATCCTGATGTGCAGTACGTCTGCCCTATAACACGTCTGCAACAAACATATAATGCCTTTTCTGTTGACAGAGACATTTTTGATTTTAGTGTTTATATTTAAGACTTTTGGACACCGTTCTGCTGCCCAGGCCACTAGGTTGTTGGCAGACGGTAAATAAAATGATCTATCTATCTATCTATCTATCTATCTATCTATCTATCTATCTATCTATCTATCTATCTATCTATCTATCTATCTACCTATCTATCTATCTATCTATCTATCTATCTATCTATCTATCTATCTATCTATCTATCTATCTATCTATCTATCTATCTATCTATCTATCTATCTATCTATCTATCCATCCATCTATCTATCTATATATATATATATATTGTAGCGGCGTGCTAAGGCGCGTGCCGGGAACCACCGAAGACGACGACGAAGCGCGTGCAGACGGCGCGTGACACACTTCTAATCTGGTCTAATTTGGCTATGGACGTCCTTTTGTAAATTAAAAACGTAACATTTGGTGTCAGAAGTGGGATTCCCGGCATTTTTCCTGACGGCCCAAGAAATCATTTTACAAGGCGCAAGGACATTCTCCGCGCGAGTGTCAGCACCTCGTTGAGTGGCGCGGCCCTGCCTGGATTACCACCAACCAGACCAGCTTCCTTCGCCATGTTCCATCACTGAAGCAACGCTAGCCGACTGTCACGGTCTCCCGGGAGCCCACGCCACAAAAGCGCGTAAGTGCGCGCTAGGCTTCAATTGTTTACGGACAAGTTGTGGCAGTTTTGCGGTTGAAAGCATTCACGAAAAATCATGGTGTCTCCTGTATTAGGCATTGCCGATGCATATCGTTGTCGGTGTTAACTTTTCAAAAGGCGCAAATGCGCTGTGAACTTAGGCACCGACATCTTCTGTGCCGGCATAAGATTTGTTCTCTGACATGTCGCCAGGGGTGACAATAAGTGAACCACTTGACCCCTCTGGTATCCGGACTCGTCGCATCAATCTTCCAAAAGCGCTAACGTGCTGGACTTTGGTGCTGCAGGCGGACTGTGAGGTCGGCCTGAACTTTAGAGTGTGTGCAAATGAGCACGAAGTTTCATGTCAAGAATCTGCATGCTGAAAGGACTTCACTCAAGATAAACTTTTCGAAACAAACAAGTTCAAGCAAACTGTCTAACACCACAGCAATGGGGCGAGGTTGTGTAGCAGGAAAACGATCCAAAGATCATCTCTTCAAGAAAACAAGTCCTTAGGGGGAATAGTGTAGCGGCGTGCTAAGGCGCGTGCCGGGAACCACCGAAGACGACGACGAGGCGCGTGCAGACGGCGCGTGACACACTTCTAATCTGGTCTAATTTGGCTATGGACGTCCTTTTGTAAATTAAAAACGTAACAATATCTTATCTGTCTATCTTATCTATCTAACTATGTATCTTATCTATCTATTTATCTATCTATCTATCTATCAATCTATCTAATGGATCTATCTATCTATTTATCTATCTATCTAATCTATCTATCTCCTCTTTACCTGGACCTGGGCATCGACGTGGTGGTCTGCATGGGCAGTGGGGGTCGACCTCTTGGACGCGTCCTGGATCCAGGCACCTTGGGGTCCGAACCCACGCTTGGGCCGCGAGCTGATGGCGCCAACCTTACTTACCCCGCACCCCATCGTATAGACGACCTGTGGATAAGAGCAAAGCGAACGTACATGAGACGTGTCGTTGATCCCAGATCAATTGTTGTCGAGAGCCGTATTTGTTGCACCTCCACTCCTCAAACCGACCTTCTGTACAATGATTCGTTTCGGATTAGTTGAATTTAAGTGAATTGAATTGAATAGTTTTTTATTTGCCATCGTAATGAAGGTGGCCACCAGGCAGCACCCCAAAGAAACGCTTAATTTTGGCTTAAGTTTGACAATCCTAGGGAAATGGGCTGGGCCTATAACGTTTTGTTGTTAGGTGTTAGTTACGGCAAATGTACTTTGACCCTAACTAGCCAAAAACTTGCTCTCTGCCTTGTTTCTTTGTTCGTTAGATAATTACAAAATGTGCCAGACAAGAGCCAAGAATGCCACTTGACAACCGAACAAACAAAATTGAAACCTACTTCAGGCATTTGCTCTGGAATTGAGGTAAAAAACGCCTGATGGAAACTGAAGAACCGGTGCAGTGAAGGTTAGCTATGGCACTTATTTGTCAATTTAGGACCAAAATTAACATTATGGTTGAAGAGTATCAAGTGTGGTCCTACCTTGGCTTCATTGGGCTTTGCTGCCAGGACCCTAGCCGGCGAATAAAGCTAAAACTTTAATCCAAAGAATTGTTTAGAAAATACGACAAAATTAGCAATTTCTTTTTTTTTTTTTTTTCTTCATTTGTTTTGCGGATTTTAATCCGCAGAGGGGGCAGAGATAAAGGCATGTTGCCTGACAGCGCCTCTGCCTCCTGCAGTTCATTTAGCGGAAATAGCATTTCAAAGAAGTCATAGCGATAATAAATAACAAGACAGCCATCGCCATAAAAACAAATAGAAACAATTATTATATAAATATCTGAAAACACATGAAATACAATGACTCAACTCAAACAACTACACAAGCGGCACAGCTTGAACAATGCAAGGCGATATGCTTATCATAAACCAGAAGTAAAATAAAATTAAAATAAAGATAAAGACAAAAATAGACACCTGTTTTTTTACATATCTAATAAACATTTCTAAACAAGGATTTATAAAAGAAAGCGGAAACAAGCTAAATCAAAACAAAAAATCAGGCTACAAAGCCAAAATTGAGAATTCCAAAGTTTCGTATACGTTACGCTTCATTGAAAATAAATATAAATAGATATGCATGCCTTAAATAGATGAAAATGCGATATCACTGCAAACCAAAGCTCCTCTGCAGTCTCGTTTGAACTTTGGAAAAGGGGAAGTGAAATTAACATCAATGCCAGGGGAATTTAATAATTTAGTACTCATGTACGATAAACTTTGCCTGCCATAATTTGTTTGTATGCTTGGGATCCTACGTTTCGGGTCTCGTAATGTGTAGACTCTAGAAGGAGGTGTCTGTGTCAAATAGAGGTTGTTTTTGTAGATCCATCGTGCAGAAAAAACAGTCGTCCCGAATACCCCCAAAAATGGTATCTACTGTAAACGACTTAATTTTCGCAAAGACCTAATTTTCGCGAATTTCGCGAATCGACTACAATTCGCAAAAAATACGTCCCGCGAACAATATCTGTAAAATTAAGACCTATATTTAGATCCCACCGTGTCGCGAAAATTAGAACCCGCGAATTATTCCAAAAATTTAGCTTTTACCTAAATTGCGAAATATAGAGCCCGCGAAAAACAAGGCGTTTACAGTGTATATATATAGATATTTATACATTTTTGGGGGGATTTAAAACATATAAGAATTTAGCCAGCATACATATATACAGGGTGTTTCAGAGAACATAGGCCAAATCGCTTCTGCGAAAGCTACTCATCGCAACAAAAAGAAGGTTTGTGGCGTTTTGGTCCAGGGCCAGGGGCCCATTTAGAAAAATTATTAAACTCCGGGATAATTAAGTTGTTAATTATTTTTGCGTAATTAACTTTTTTTTAATATTGTGTTTAAGGGCATGGTTTAAATTAGAAAATTGCTCAGTATCATCGAAAAACACTAAATCAACAAATTGCAGAACGATAGAAGGCACGCGAAGCAGTTTACGGCTTTCAAAAAAACCGCACAAAATTGAAAGCTTTTTAAGTTTCGGTTCGCTATCGGAGCGCATCTCAGCCCCAGCGGCACCGCGCCCCGTGGAAAGATAGTGCAACCAACCTCTGTTGCGTCGCGCGATGGCAGCGCATTGTCAATATTATTGCGATGACAGCATTGTCAATGTTATTGGGACCATAACCACGCATTAAAATAGCGTGTACACTGATACAAAACAAAACAAAAAACTGCGCAAGCAAAGAAACTAGTTCTGTTCTATTTGGATGGCGTGGCGGGTCAATAAACGGGGCATGTATCAGATACCAAACAATGCAATCAAAGCAAACCAAAGTGGACACAGCGAGCCAAAAGTATGTAACTCTATGCTGGGGCCCGGTAACATCGCGTGCGTGCGGAACAAAACAACAACCGCCAATCTGAGCCAAGTGGAAATGAGGACGATACCACAAACGGTTGCTCGCCGACAATCGGGAGTGGTTTGTATCCGCCAATACTCTTTTGCGCAAATTGTATAAATCGTCTCAAGGTGAATTTAAGATGCATTATTTTTTGTTCTGCTTCCTTTTTCTTTCTTTCTTTTTTCCTATCCAGGGTTGTGGGTCATTTAGCTCTATTATTATCGCTTTTTGCTCCGCAAATCGTACCCGGCCTTCCTCAATCTCCTTAGGTAATATGACTCGTTCTGTCGATTCTTCATATTTATGCGAGACCTCGCGAGTCGCATGCATTGTCTACCATAAAAAAAAAAAGCCAGATAGTGGACGAGGAGGATGTTTAGCTTGGGATCAGAAGATTTCCCTAGAAAACAGTTGGCATAATTTAATTATCCGAATTCTAATAGCTCTCGAATATTTTGACGATATGAAACAAATTTCTAATAGGAACGTGTCAGCTAAGGAGAATATTTTAAGTAGTAATTAGTGGATTTTGGGTAATCAATTTTATAATTATCACCTTACATTCTCTATCAGATGTCCACCACGGTTCGTAGCGTAATTCAAAAGAAATCGTTTGTGCCTCTATTTTAAACGTATTCTCACTAGTTGCTTAAACTCCTTGTATAATCTAACTCCTGTTAACTGTATAAGTACCTTCATTTTAAGAATCCTTATTTCGCAGCTGTCGTAAATACAACAAGAATACTGCATTAGGACAACAATTGTGGAAACAGACAGGTGTCAAATTTACCATGCCTGACGACTGAGACAAACTTCAAGAGACGCATAATATTATACACTCTTCTTATCAACCTTCCATTCAGCGGTGTAACAAAAACTTGTGACTCGACCTCCGTTTTCGTGACGTGACCTTCATTTTCCCTTTCTCCTAATATCAAAATGAGCAATCAGAAATCGGATACCGAAACCGGTCACCCAGCAAAAGAACTCGTGCGGATCGATTTATTCCAGTTAAGAAAAAGATACAAAACCATATTCAACAAAATTTGGCAAAAATACACAAAAAAATAAGCGTAGAAAAGGGAGGTGAAGGCGGGACGACGACCATTTCGACGTCGACAAGTGAGTCTGTACCCAGGACTCGGAGCCATAACCCATATCCCTCTCTCACGTCATCCCTCTCTCGTCCCACACCGTGGCCCTATACTCCCGCCTGCTCCTAAGCAGACAGTGTAGTAGAAGCTAAGCACTCGCTGAATAGACGTACGTCCGCCTTTCGTCACGTGATCACGCTTCTTCCCAAACACCCGCTCGCAGAAGGCGGCGTCAGGCAGTGAAAGGGATGCAGTTCATTGGTCCGCAGAGCTCATAGCTACCACCACACTGTCAGCTTTGAGGGGTGAGCGGAGCATAGTAGAGGAACGTGACCACTTCGTTGCCATTGCATGCTTCATTGCACTTCTGTGCCCTGGCTCCCTCACCCCCTCCTACCGGCCTTGCCCGCGGTCGTTTGTAGTAGACGTAGAAATGGATCATCGTCGGGCGTCGGCTATGGCTACGCCGTTCGGTTGGCATGTTCGAAACGCTGACCGCGATTGTCGGACATCCACGGTTAACCTCATTTTATGGCTGGTTTGCCGGGCAGCAGCTGGCTAATTGGCTTGTTCACACCACGATCATATTTCTGACTGTCTTTCTTTTTTTTTTTTTTAGCATTGACTTATACGCGCATTGAAAGTGAAAGCTGTGCTGTACATATTACGTTTCATTTTAACTCCGACAGCAGCTAACGCTACAACCCAATAGCAGTCAGTCTTGTACACGCTACTCGAAAAAAAAATAATTGATTGCTATTACAGTTACTCTCGCTTAAAAAAAGCATTCGATTCGATTACTCGCTGACTCGAGCCGAAAAGTAATTGGCAGTTATTTAAGAAAGTATGACCGTTACTTCTCCGATTACTTAAGATTTTCGAAAAAGTTTTTTTTTTTTTTTCTGCCTGTTTGAAAATGGGTATTTCGTAGTGTCCACAATCGGATTAGAATCATCAAACTTTGAACTGTTTACATTCTTAATCACCCAACTTTAGTGAACCATCCTCTCGTCAAAGATTCTGGTTCGAGTATCGCTTGGTAGAAAACTTACAGGAACAAAGGAGCGCCATTAGAAAGTGGAAGGGGGTAAAAAGTAAGGGTTACAAGTAATCTTAGTACTTCCAAAGGTAATCAGGCTACTGTTGCAATTACTTTCTAGAAAACGTAATCATCAGATTACGTAATTACTTCAAAAAGTAAACGATTCCGAGTGATTTGATTACTTGTCGCGAGTACCGTATACAATTATGCCCACGATGGAGCCTTTCAGGCTGCGCGAAAAGTGCACCGTCACGACGCTCATCGCCTTTTGTGTTATTCTCTATTACCGACTAAACCAATCACGCAAAGTAAATGCACCGCGATCCCGCGCTTTTTTTTTTTTTTTTTTCTTTGTTAATGTGAAAGCATTATCCGTCCCTTGGAGCGAAGCCGGCGTTGTCTGTAACTGTCTGTAGCAGAAAAACGGCACCTAAATTCTCATTTCCAAAAGCGCAGCAACGCAATACTTCGTCACGGAACCCGTCGTGAAGCTGGCAAGGTTCGCCGCGCCTGCGCAGTGGGGGAGTGTGACGTCACCGCCTTAGCGCCGTGCGCAAAAGGAAGACGTGGCGCGCAGCTTGTAAGAATGCG